TAACTTCAGTTGTTCTCTTTGATAGCTCCGATTGGCCATTCAAGGATGGAATGCCCACCCTGACCTCTTTGCTGGCTGTCAGCTAATCAATGTACCCCCCAAATCTGCCAACAAGATTCACTGTTCCCGGACTCCCTGTGGTTTTTCTCCTTTCCACTCCATGGACTCCGTTTTGCCTGTGTTCCTTGATTCAGTCTACCAGCTGACTTCCTCACCTGTGAGAAATACTCCACATGCAAAATAACTAACTACTTGCAAAATAACTTTTTAAATGCTTTGAGTTATTCCTTGATATATGAGATGAGGTGTCCACTGGATGGGAGTAGGGGTGGGGGAAGCCAGCATGCTACTTGATCAGGATCCGCAACCCATCCAGTTACCCAGTTACTTGAGAAATGTTGGCCAGCCCTCACTGATCGACTGTGGTGGGGAGGAGGGGTGGGTGGGGGGTGGAAGTTCCTTCTAGGGACTATGGCATGAGAAGTTAAAGGGAAATGTCGGGCATGGCAGGCAAATACCCGACTCTTCTAAATGACGTACTAAGTAAGTGTGTGAGTTAGTTTTGTTATGTATTATTTTGTTGCATAGCAAACCACCCCAAAACTTAATGGCTTAAAGCAATAATCATTCAGCTCACAACTGTGTGGGTCAGCGATCTGGACTGGACTCAGCACTGCAGTTCTTCTGCTGGTCTCACCTGGGGTGCGCATCTGTCATGCAGTTGGTCGAGGATGGCCTCACTCGCATGCCTGTCAGCTGGTGCCGGCTGTAGGCTGGGGTGACAGGGAAAACGGGGCCACATGTCTACCTCAAGCCCCACTGCTCCTCAAGCCCCATTTTCCAAACCTCTGCTGCATCACATTTTCTAATGTCCCATTGGCCAAAGCAAGGCGCATGGCCAAGTTCAGATTCAAGGGGTTGAGAAATAGACTGTGCCTGTTGCTGGGAGGAGAGGCAAAGTCATAGGTGAAGAAGCACACAAGCGGGATGGGAGGAACCCGTGACCATCCTGGTGAGCTACCACACCAGGTTCGTCTGATGCAGGCTTCCAGGCGCTGTGAAACCCATCTCGCCCAAGAAGCTTCCCAAGACGCCCTTCTCCTGTGCTGGCGCTCCTTGAGCCTGGGCGCTGATTCATGGGACGTGTGTCTGATTCGTATTTATATCACCAGAGTGCCCTAACCTAGTTGGTTCTTTTTTTACTGAGGTATAATTGACAAATGAAGTTGTATATATTTAATGTGTATAATGTGATGATTTGATATATGTATACATTGTGAAATGATCACCACAATCAAGTTAATGAACACGTCCATCACCTCGCGTAGTTACCTTTTTTGTGTGTGAGAACACTTAAGGTCTACTCTCTTAGAAAATTTAAAGTACTAGTTGTTTTATTGAATTGAGTTGAGTTGAATTGAGTTGCTTCTCCTTTCTCTCTAATCACAAGCTCCTTGAAGGCAGGTTTGGAATTGCTCTGTTGCATAAAATCTCCCTGCCGAGCTCTCAGAATTATACTAACAGGCTGACAATCCTACAGGCTCTCAGAAGCACCGATGAAGTGGTGGAAGGAATAGGTCTGGAGCCAGCTCTGCTCAAGGCTCTATCTGAGGAAAGAGCGGGTCTTGCAGGAGACCATGGGCACTGGCACTGAAGCATTGGCTCTTCAGGCTGGCCATACCCCAGATGAGTGACATCACTGCTTTAGGCTTAGGAAACAGAAAGACTCGGCAACGTGGAGAATGTGGCTTTCCTTCCCCATTCAGTGTGCAAGGGGCAAACCCAGGCCAGGTCAGGAGGAAACTTGTCGGCCCCAGGCCTCTGAGGCTTCTGCTCTGTGACAGCCCAGAGCAGACCTCTTGAGGGCTCCCTGGTGCTCCTGCCCCATCACCTCAGCACTCTCCCAAAATTCATCAGGGCAAACCTCTGGGGAACCTGCTCTAGAACCGGGGCTGGGTGGCTGAGACGAAACCACAGCACAGGACAGTCCTTTTTTGGAGCTGCTTGCCCACTCCTCCTCACCCTTCTGGTTCAGCACTACTCAAGATCCTGGTTCCAGCTTAGCTCCAGAACTTTCTAAGTCTTGAAGATCACCTGGGACAATTTATTCCAGATTGGACCATCCTTTAGGAATAGGAAGGTGTTCTTCCCATGACATAAGATGAATTGTCAGGCACCTCATTAGTCACAGGCTTAGGAGTGAGTTTTCTACAGGAATTTCCATTCTGGGTGGCTAACAAGGACCCCTGGCAATCTGTCCTTTTCTTCGTATGACACAATCATCCACCTACCCATCCCTTTATTCTCTAAAGTCCTGCTGACTGCCCACTGTGTGCCAGGCACGTCTCAGGCCCTGGAGAGAGGGAGTTGAGCCGGGTGTGGGTCTTGTCCTGGGGAGCTCATGTGCCCCAAGAACACACACCTGGTGGGAGGCGTCAAGCCAGAGGGTCTGCGGAGGACCATAGAATGATGGCTCTTCAGAGAAGAAGGCACCTCGGCACATCTAATCCATCCCCTCATTCCTCAGAGGAGGAAACTGAGCCCCAGAGGGGAGCTTAGTCACCTAGGGTCACACAGTAAGCGGCAGTGATTGATTCACCACACAAGCATTTATGGAACATCTATTATGTTCTAAGATCTGGGCTGGGCACTGGAGATAGCCCAGGGAACAAGAAAGACACAGGCCCTGTCCCTTTGGAGCTCCAACCCTGACTGGTGGGTCCCAATCCAGGTTACAATTTAGAACCAGCTTTGGAGCTTTAAGAAAAATCCCTATGCCAGGGCTGCATGCCCAGAGATTCACATTTGCTTGGTTTGGGTGGGCCCAGGCATGGGTATTTTAACAAGCTCTCCAAGTGATTGCAATGTGTAGCCAGGTTGAGAACCTTTGCTCTGGGGGGAGAGACAGACAAAAACCAAGTAAACACGAATAGATACATAACTGAGATTTGTGATTTGTAGGAATGAGCAGGATGCTGAGTGAGGACACAGCAGAGTTGGGTATCTGTTATCTGCTCTAAGTCTGAAAGGAGTGAGGCTACTTTTAGAGAACTGTGGTTCCAGGGGCCAGAGGGGAGTAGGCATAAGGGTGTCCTCATGTGGGACAGCAATGGAATCTTCTGGAACATATTGCCTACCCTGCAGATCCACAGATCCCTGCATTGGAGCTCTATCTAGCAGAGGCTCTCAATCTGCAACCTATTGCTGTCTGCCCTTTATCCACCCCTCAGCCCACACCCTGTTTATGAATGCCCTTCGGGCCCGCCCCTCCTGTTTTTAGAGTGGTTAGTAAAGGACATTACCTCTTATTCTCTGTATTCTTGGATCCTACCACTAATCCCATGAGGTAGACAAAGTCAAGGCTAATGGTCCCATGATAGAGATGCAGAACCAGGTTCAGAGAAGTGGTGTGACCTGCCTAAGAGCACACAGCTAATAACTGGATGTGTGAGAGTTCAGTCTAGCTCGCCAGCCTCTCACTCCACCAGCCCATGTTGCCCCGCACCCACCCTGCACCAGGAAACTGAGACAGAAGCAGGGCACCTGAGAGGCAGGTGGTGACACAGCCGAGGACCAGCGCCTTCCTGTCAAGCGGGCAGAGCAGTGTGCCCTCTCTTTAACTTGGCTGGCATGCAGTCTCGTTCCCCATCAGGGAATCAAAGGGATCTGTGACTCTTGCCTCGGTTCCTGCCCAGAGTGAACCCGGTTACTATAGTAACCTGATGCTGTTCTTTCTTAGAGGGTGGATGCTTTGCATTTGGTATTTGGAGAGTTTGGCCAGGCAGTCATGTGGCCATGACTTGGCCTGGCGGTGGTGGCAAAAGCAGAGGGAACCCTGTGAGCAGCCTATTAGGTGTTTTCTGTGCCTACAGATGGTAGAAACCTGGGTCTGGAAACACTCCAGCTCGGCTGCCCTGGGGCAGGAGGGAGGGGAGTCTCAGCTGGGTGCTGTGCTGGGTACCCTCTCCTGTTCAGAGATCACACCTTCCTAATTAGAGCAGCCTGGACCGAAGTCGGCCCCGGAGGCTTCTAGTTCCCCTCCAGGATCCTCATCGTGGGGGCCATGCTCAGAGCTGTCTTGTCAACCCTGAAGCCTCTGCTGGGACCTCCTTGAGAAGCCTGGGCCTTCCCTGTATGTGAGCCCCGGTATGAGCCTAGGCTGGACCCACAGCAGGTGCTCAGTAAATGCTTGTTTCCGCTGCTTTGCCCATCCACATGGCAGGACAGCAGGAATCTCAGCTTCACAGAAGGTTAGGGCTGGAAGGGGGCTTAGATGTCACTGAGTCCAACCCTCATTTTACAGAAAGACTGAGGCCCTATCCATTAATAATGTTAACAAAAATACTAGCTGATACGGAGCATTTACTGGGTGCCTGGCAGGATTCTGTGCACGTCGTATATCCTAATCCACTGCAGCCTCACAGAGACCGCTATGCAGCAGGTACTATTATTGTCCCCAGGTGAGGAAACTGAGGCACAGAGAGGTTCAGTAACTCACCCAAGATCACAGAGCTCGTTGGTGTTAGGATCAGGAACCAGATCCAGGAGGTCGGGCTCCAGGGCCCACATATCAACACTCCACTGCACTGTGCGAGAGCAAGGCACTGCCAGCAAACACCAGTCCATTTCTCTTCTGAATGGGGAGAGGCATCTGTGCCAGCCCTGTGAGTTCACCCACCCAGGAAACAAAACTGTTTCATCTCCACATCCCCCTCCAGGGCTCAGGGACCTGTTTTTAATACAAATGAGCTGTTCTTCCTCCTCATGAAACAGTTTGGGGGTACCTTCGAGCAAGAAGGGAGCTTGGGAAGCAATTTACAGCCATGGAGGCCCAGAGAGCGAACATGTCGTAGCCAGGTCTCCCGACTCCCCACCCACGACTCTCACCACACAAGCGAGGCCTCCAAAGCCGGCCCTGAGGTGGGTCAGCTGCCCCGTCCTCCCTCGGCTGCTGGGCGGTTCCGGCCCGGCCACACTAACGGGCTCTCTGCTCCCACCAGCTCTTCGTGATCGACAATGGTGCGGACGACTGGCGGATAGCCATGACCTACGAGCGCATCCTCTACATCAGCCTGGAGATGCTGGTGTGCGCCATCCACCCCATTCCTGGCGAGTACAAGTTCTTCTGGACGGCCCGCCTGGCCTTCTCCTACACACCCTCGCGGGCGGAGGCGGATGTGGACATCATCCTGTCCATCCCCATGTTCCTGCGCCTGTACCTGATCGCGCGCGTCATGCTGCTGCACAGCAAGCTCTTCACGGATGCCTCGTCCCGCAGCATCGGAGCCCTCAACAAGATCAACTTCAACACCCGCTTCGTCATGAAGACCCTCATGACCATCTGCCCCGGCACTGTGCTGCTCGTGTTCAGCATCTCACTGTGGATCATCGCTGCCTGGACCGTCCGCGTCTGCGAAAGGTATTCCCATGGGTCCCATTCTGCGCTCAATCCCGGCCATCTGAGCACGGAGCCCATGCTGGGGTGGGGGATGGGAGGAGGAGGGGGTGCCAGGATGTGTATGGTCCGATGGAGATGAGCATGTCCCCAAGCACCTCAAAGGAGAAAATGGCAAAGGGGAGGGCCAAGTCAGGGCTGAATATGAGCTGCAACGTGGAAACTTTGGAACCAAGGTAAGCTGGGAAAAACGAAGACATAATAGTCCTCATTTTCTGTTCTCTCTCTGTAAACCAATATATCAAAGTATTCTGGTTACTTTGTTAACTGTTTCTCATGTACAACACTTCGCAATCTCTGTATTATCTCTTCCTCTTGGAGATTAATGATACTCACTAGCCTTTTAAAGCCTCTGAGAAGTCCTGCAGTAATGAAACTGGTTTAATTTTGTTTAGTCCAGATTTTCTCAAAATTATTCACCCACAAACCCTTGTCATTGTACAACACTGTTGACGCCTCCCTGCTTAAAGTTTGGTCCACAGACCCAGCAGCATCAGCCTCACTGGAAACTTGTCAGAAACACAGAATCTCAGGCCTCACCCCAGACATACTGAATAGAATTTGCATTTTAACAAGTTCACCCAGTGACTCATATGCACCTTAAAGTTTAAGAAGCACTGTGCTGGTGGAACGTACTTTGGGAAACGTTGTTTTAGGCAGCTGGTGGCTGGGCAGTGACTCAGAGAAGCGGCTGGTGGGAGGGAAGGAGCACATGGCCCAGCAGAGATCCAGGGCTGTAACCCACAATGTCAGCCCCTCAGAACTGCCATCACCAAGACTCTAGGGTAGGACTGTTGCTCCCTCCTTCCACTTCCACCCTCAAGCTGCCCTCGGTGACTCCTCTCCCTTTCAAGCTGACCCTGAATGTTCATTTTAATCTGATTTCATGTGTGGAGACTGAACACCTAGGTTAGAAACCTGCATTCTGCCCCTAAGTAGCTCTGAGACCTTGCGCAAGTCACTTAACCTCTCTGGGCCTCACTGTCCTCATTTTAAAATGAAGATCTCTTGAGATAGAAGGAGGATGTGTTCACTAGAGACAGGTTATTTTTATTATGTTGGGAGACCTGGTCAAGCGTCTGTGTAATTTACACGGATCCTGGTAGTCGCCCTAATTCATCAACATTTATCATTGTATTGCCAAATCTTCCATGCACCAGTCCCAGCAGAGAGAAAACAAGAAAAAGAAGTCTGGAGGAGAGTTAGCCTAGAATATCTCACATGGGTGCGTTGAAGCAGCTTCCCCTCCTATTTGAGATGTCCTGTTTGCAGACATTTCTTTCAGATCCTTGGCCAGCAGACACACAGTCAAACTACGAGGGCGTTCTTCTGCAACGGGACAAGGGCCCCTAAGCATGGCAGAGTCGGTCTCTGAGAGCCAGTGCAGTGTTCTAGATGTTTCTCACATACAAAGCCCCAGGGACACGATACCCACCTATTCAGAACCCCCCGTTCCTCAGCAGCTGACATTGCAACCTCTGCTCTCCATAGGACCACACCTCATGATGCTCATGAACCTTCGCTGGTGAGCAGACACTCTTTCTGCCGTGGACAAAGCATGTGCTTGGCTTCCAGCCCCAAACCCCTCATGCTTCTCTTAACTGAGCAACATCATGCCGTTCATTTTACCTCTCTGGGCCTCAGTTTTCTCGTCTGCGAGCTGAGGATAATAATATCGACTTTACAGGATTTGTTGTTAGAGTCAAACAAGATGCTTTACGGGAACTGTACCCTGCAATGCAATGGTAGGGAAAATTAATAATAGTAACGGTGATCCCTTGATAGCTCTTTGGGAATTTTGTGGCTGCCTTCTTAACATCTGAACAAAACAGTTCCTCCCAAAGGTAGACCATGCTCTTCCTGTTTTCCTTTCTGACTGGTTGAAGCCAAGTCTTCTGACAACAATCATAACCGAATTCGCATAGCCCGTTAAGATGTTTGAAGTCTTCCACATCCTCAGACCAGCCCCGTTTGGCATGTATGCTCACCCCATTTTTCAGATGAGCAAATGGGCTGGACATGGAACAAAGAACTTGCTAATGAGTTTCACTATTTACTGAACCTCTCCCAAGTACAGGTGATGGTTTTTTACGGGAAAATAAGTGTGCTTCAAAGTGCACAGTTTGCAAAGTACCCTGCTGCGTTTCATTTGGCATTGAACGGCCCTCCACGGCTTCCTAGCTGAGCGGGGTTCCCCCAGCCCCTGGCAGAGCACCAGGCCTCTGTCCGCAGATGTGACTGACAAGCCCCAGCTGAAGTCCACGGCAAAGGCCCAGAGAAACAACGAGCAAATCAAAAGTCCTCTTCACGTTTCCCCTTCTCTCATGAGAAGGCCCTTTGCCCATGTTAGATTCTGCTTCGATCCCACGTGACGTATAGTAAAGCCATGGTGGGGGTTTTTTGGGCACTTACCTTGTGCCGGGTCTGTGTGAGATCTCCACACATTACTGTATTTGCCCTCACTGTAGACCCGTGACAGAGCTGCCGTGACTGTCCCCATTCTGGAGTTGAGGGAACTGATACACAGTATGCGGCCCGAGGTCACCGGGCTCGGGAAGTGGAGCCAGAATTTGAACTTGATTCTTCACACCCCCCAGACTGAATCCTGCACTTACGAGGAAACTGTGGCCCGGACTCTCCTGGAGACTTTCCCCATCTGGGAGTCTCGAAGCCACCGAGACTGATGCTTAAGTCCCAGTCTTGCTGTTTGGTCTGCCTCTGATGTCCATGCTCGTAACCACTTTATCACACTGTCTTCAGGGCTGACCTCAAGCTAAGTTCAAACATCCGAGTATAAGGGAGGCTGTGGTGCTCCACCCAGATGCCCCCTCTAGGCCCAGGCTCTCATTCCCTCAGCTGGGGTTATCGGCTGGGGCTGAATCCCTCTCCCAGAATTGCCCTGGCTAAAGGAGCTGCCTCGGCCAAGGTCAAGCCCCCTGCGCAGGGGCAGCAAGCACCCGATGACGTCACTGTAGGAGTTTAAAGGGCCAGCCTCTTTACCTCTGGCAGGACAACTCTGCAGGGCCATGAGGGGCTCCACAGCTCCCGCTGTGACTGCATATCGCTCCATCTTCTCCCTCTCCCCAGTCCTACTTCCTTCACTCCTCATGGGTTTGATCCAAGGGCAGCCCTAATAAACCTCCTGCACTCAAGTCTCAGAGTCTCAGAGACTCTTCCCCAGGAATCTGCCCAGTGGAACTGTGAAATATGCATAAGTAAGCAAAGTATACTTTTTCCTAATCAGGCAAAGCACTTCTTTTAAAAGGACCCAGCAATTTCTTTTAGAATCAAGCTTAAATGATCATTGTCCTTCCCCACTGTCAAATAATAAGTAAGATTGGCAGAGACCTTGAGACAGGAATCAGTCAACCAGACACTGGGTAGAAACTGGAAGCAGGGGCCACGTGGCGGGGAACTGAAGCGTGGGACCGCCATGGGAGGAGGACGTGGGCAAGATGACCTTGATCTCGCTCAGCCTGATCTGACAATGATTCTGTCACCTTAGATAGCAGAGAGGGTAAGTGACTTGCCCAAGGTCACATAGCAGCATGACAGGTTCTAGAAAAACTCCTGTCTGCTGATGCCCAGAGCAGGGCTTGTCCACATTCCAGGTGGCTTTATCGGCCTGGACTTATCTCTGGTTGTATACACACACTTCTGAAGTTGCTATGGAAATCCCTCTTCAGCAAGATGCATTTTAAAAGACATTTCTCATCTCTTGGGTTGGCTTTTATGTGACAATAAAGGTTTTTCACATTTCCTCCTTCCAAGGAGGGAGGGGAAATCAGTAATTACCAGAACTGCCTGCTGTTGGGAGGGCTGTGCCTGGTTGCCAGGAGGGCAGCGACAACAGCAGGCTTGTTTTCCCTGGACCCCAGGGAGGCATTACATCATGGGTTCCGAGGCCTGACAGTTGCGGCACTCGGCATTCTCCGGGATTCTCTTGGCTGCGTGCCTGCCTCCCACAGGCCTCTCGGAGCCCATCTGAGGAACCCCCTCATTAAACACTGTCACACGCCAAGCCGCCTTGCTGGTGGAGAGACCGTCTGAGGCCCCAGTCCTAACACAGCAGGTTGGGGAAGTGGGCTTTCCTGGTGCGGCCGGCTGAGCAGAGGTCTGCCGGCTCATTTGGAGCTTTATCTCCCTGGGAGGAGCGGCCAGGCCTCCCATAACATGGATAAAGCGGGCTGAGGCTCGTGATCCCAACCCAGGTTTTGTAAATGACCTTTCAGCCGCCTGAATGGATTCCCTTTGGACTCTTCCCTTGGGGGGGCTCCAGGTTCTGCACCCCGGCTGTCGCAGGGGCTGTCTCAGGATCGCAGGCCTTCCAGCTTGGCAACAGGTCTTTGGTGGTTGTGATGTGAATTTTCATCTTTTTCTGCATATTTTAATGAGAAATTTGATTCTGGAGATCTGGCCCCTGGAACTGGAGAAAAACCATTAGTGGTCCATTCTTTCTCTCATTAAAACAGAGTCACCCTTCCCATTGTAAGGAAGATAACAAGAGCCTTCCTTTCTCCATCTTCTTCTGCCTCTGTCTCAGACACCCAGGTCTGCACCAGCCAGAAGCCAGGGAGCAAGAACAGCTCCCTCCTCCCCCTCATCTCCTTCCCACAACCTCCTACCACCTCTGGCAGGGGGCTTCAACTCCAAGCAGGCAGCAGGGAGACAGCCGACAGGTTGAAGCACATTGCATGGGGTTGACACAAGCCCCCAGGCAGAGCCCTTGTGAGCTGGGCAGAGCTGAGAACAGACGGGCCGAGGACTGATTCCTCACAGGCCGCTTTGGTTTGAGGTACAACCTCCAGTGTGGAACATATGCACCGTGACCCACTGGGAGAATGGGAAGAAATGATCAGAACTTCTATTTGTAGTTATTTTTATCTAAAAAAATTGTTTTACTAATATTGAATATGCAGGGAGACAGTGAAATGTGTGCAATTTATAATAAATATACATATAGC